AGAGAGAGAGAGAGAGAGAGAGAGAGAGAGAGAGAGAGAGAGAGAGATCATACACTGAAACGTTGTTCATTTGAAATACACAGCAATCAGAGCTGTTGATGCCGCTGACACAGAGCTGTTGTCCATTTAAAAATACATGGCAAGCAGAGCTGTTGATTTCTAGGTCAACCAGTTGTGGAGAAGAAAAAAGGCGTGGCTAAAACCGGTTTGGACAAAACCCGCTTTTTTACACTACTTAAATTGATATTAAATTTGGATCGAAATAACTATTTACCATTTTGGCGAACTAATGTAAACAATGTCGTTGCAACGATTAACACAACAAATAAATATAGATCTGTCAAGTGCATTCGCATTCGAGCAGCAATATTCGGACGTATTTGCCAATGCGCCGTATAGATACATTGAATGGTTATTCGCGAGTGTTTATATTCAAATGCATGGCAAAGTATTTGCGCATTCGTACGAGTAGTATACTTTTGTACAAATTACTACTCGTACGAATAGCAGTATTCGCATAGAGTGAAATGCCCCTAGAGCTATGTTTCACTTTTATTTTGACTCCGCGCATGTTGCAGTTTTATTTTATACGCGTTCTTTGTTTCACCATTATTTCAAACCAACTTTATGTTTCGGGTTTATTTTATGGGAGATTGGCGGGCCACGATTATTGTCACCCGTTCATATATTATTTATTAGAAATCTAAATTTGTCATTTCGATGATGGGGACGATGAACGAGTTGATAGGGTAGTTTTTTCAAGCAGAATGAACTGCCTGTGATAAAACGACAACACATTGACAAATAGATAAAAGAAAAGAAAACAAAAAGAAATGAAAGGAAAGGAAAGGAAGTGAACGCAAAACGTGCCGATGTCATGATGAATGTGCATTTATTCAATCGGCATGAAATTGCCACGTTGTTATTCCATCGGAATTTATTCGTTTGGTACTTATTTAACCGTTTCGAGCGACACAATGAAATCACATGCAAAATGAGAGGGACTGACAAGCGCGAGATAAGAATGGAAGAGGAGCATGAGCAAGCAAAATACATATTGAAAATTTCACCGTAGTATATTGAGTTTGTGGTAGTCACAATGATAATCTAGTAAAATTGTATTTGATTTGGATTATATTGTGCAAAATGCAAATTGACTTTTTCCCGTTTAACCACACAAAATTTATGATTTCTATTTTTGAGTTTCCCCCCTAGACTTTGTAACTGAATATTTCGGCCCATTCGACCCAAACGCACACAATTTCACTGGCCATAACAATGGTGATCTAGTCGTAATAAATGTTCAGTATTGACTTCTTGAAGTGTTTACAAGATGTTGCTGTTGAAAAGCCTACAAGCACGAATCAGTTAATTCCACAGATTGAATAAAATGGAAGCAATACCAACACCAACAACAGGAAACCATATCAATAACGAGACGTTCAAACGCGCTTTCTTATGAACATTTTTATGTGCAGCTTTTGACGCTCCTAATGTTAGCTAACGTGTGTGCCATCACGTGTGAGCGTATTCATTCTAACATTTTTGATAGTGTATTCGCGTGAACACGCATACAGACAGACATTTGAACAACTCAATGAAATCATTGTTCGAAGGTATAAATACAACGCAGAGGTGGAAAAGTTACAGCGTCACATTCACATTCACATTTACATGCGGAAAACAATGAACCATATTTGTTTATTTGAAATATAATTGCCCTACTGCCAGTAGGTTTAAATAATTTGTTTGATATTTGAATTTTTTGTAATATTCCTGTGAAAAAACATTCCCTGATTGTATTGCAACCACTTATTTCTTGTGCATGCCAAATAAATGCATAATTATACTGTTTCTTTTTTTTGCAGATTGTTCGACTTAAACTCTTGATTGAATAAAATACAAAATAGATTCAAATAATCATATCGAAATTCGAAAATTCCAATAAAAAATGTGAAAAGTGATTTGAGTGAATTTCATTTATGAAAATATTATCAAAATTGATTGCATTGATTGAATTATATATACTGTAAAATCGAATTGTGAATATGAGTGCAATAGAGCAAAACATAGCAACGAAAACGAAACAAAAACCATAATGATTTAAATTAAGTGTAAAATGCAATGTTCCAGTCAGAGGAATGACACGGAAAATCTTGAGCATAGAACAATTTAATAATGGCTTGATTATGAATGAAATGTACGGAATAGATACAATACACTCATGAAGAAAATGAACATCTTAAGAAAAAAAGCAACAAAATTAAATTGAAACATCCAATGAAACGTAAACACAATTTAAAAGAACTGAAAATCAAACATAATGCACACATTTTTATTTAAAGAATAAGTGCTCACCATATCTTTTTTGTACTTGACGTTGCTCCCATCACGTATAAGATCCAAGGAATATTATATGATTACTGCGGTTTTCGTCGACTTTCTGATTGCATGGATTTTATATAAATTTATGAAATCAAATGCATTGGCTGAGATTGGATTACCATATATTGTTGAGCGTCGGTGTCTAAGATGCTCTTTATTGCTGCTGCACTGCTAGTGGTACATGTTGGCACTGTTGGTAAGCATATCTCAAGTTTATGTCACATTTTATGTTGTAAAATTCCAGAGTAACATGTATATATTGCACAGAGAAAACTGAATTGGTGAACCCTGCCAATACTACACACAGAAAAGAATCCCCGGAAATTTTAGGTGTTCGCCGTAAAATTTGACATTTATATATAAATTTCTATATACATTTTACCGGCAACCCTTCAATTTTCCGGGCGATGACATATTTCCGAACCTTTTTACAAATACTATATATATTTTACCGCTTGAAATGACAGATGGCGCTAATTTCTGTTGGAATATTTGAATTTATGTCATCGCCCGGAAAATTCAAGTGTTGCCGGTAAAATGTATATAGAAATTTATATATAAATGTCAAATTTTACGGCGAACACTCAAAATTTCCGGGGATTCTTTTCTGTGTGTATTGGTGAAAAGTAGAAGTATCAATAGATTGGATTGTTGAACCCTGACAGTCTATTGGTGAAACGTGATTCTACCAATGGAATTTTACTTTTCCGTACACAACGTGTCAAAGGAAAGTATAGGAATTGGTCCCGAAAACTTTTTTCGCAAAATTAGCTTAGATCATCAAAGAAACTCATGAAACGCGTAGAAAACCTCTTTTTGAGACACTTTTCTTACTTAGAAAAACTTAGTTTAAGTTCGAAGATGAGCCATTTTCGATTTGATCCTTGGGTACTTGCCCTAAGAAAAACCTCAAAAAAATTGACACTTTTGTATGGGAGGTACCCGTAAATCGACTCCGATTGGCTTCAAACTGAGGTTTCATTTTTTGGAGAAAAAATTAGATTCTGAAAGTTTCATGTTGCTCGCATTTGCAGAAGTTTGGTTTTTGGCCCTCAATTTTTTCCAAGAAAATTTCAACAAAAATTGAGGACAAAAAATCAAACTTCTACAAATGCGATCAACATGAAACTTTCAGAATCTTATTTTTTCTCGAAAAAATGAACCCGTAGAAAGTTTGAAGCCAATAGGAATTGGTTTACGGGTACCTCTCATACAAAATTGTTGAAGTTTTAGTCGGGGCGTGGAAACGAAACTTCAAACGTATACTACGCGCCCAACGTAGTGAACGCAAGTATACTTTGACAGCGGATCTAGTACTACAAATTCGACCTTGCAAATTCTACCTTGCAAAGTACAGCACTTTTTTAGCATTTGCGCTACATAGTGAAATTCAGTTCTATACACGGAACACGACAACACAACAATTTTCAAGTTCAAATTTCAATTACACGCATTGAAAGTTTGATTCGATAGCGTATAATTCAAATTTGAATTTAAAAATATTATGTCGTCATGTACCGTGTATATATTTGAATTTAGTAGCACATATTCTACACATGTAAACTATACTTTACAAAGTGGAATTTGAGGGAA